GATAGTGCTGCGCGGCTGGTACGAGAAGAACAAGCACATCTTCCCGGCGAGCCGCTGGGAACCGTACGACCCCGAGAAGAACTACGACAAGTACACGATCTCAGATAAACGGAAACTCTAGCAACCGTGTGCAGATCTATGTAGATCTACAAGTGCATGGTCTCGGACAAACGGAAACCCTAGCAGCCGTGTGCAGGTCTATATGTAGATCTACAAGTGCATGGTCTCGGACAAACGGAAACCCTAGCAGCCGTGTGCAGATCTATGTAGATCTACAAGTGCATGGTCTCGGACAAACGGAAACCCTAGCAGCCGTGTGCAGGTCTATATGTAGATCTACAAGTGCATGGTCTCGGACAAACGGAAACCCTAGCAACCGTGTGCAGGTCTATATGTAGATCTACAAGTACACGATCTCAGACAAACGGAAACTCTAGCAACCGTGTGCAGATCTATGTAGATCTACAAGTGCATGGTCTCGGACAAACGGAAACCCTAGCAGCCGTGTGCAGATCTATGTAGATCTACGACAAGTGCATGGTCTCGGACAAACGGAAACCATAGCAGCCGTGTGCAGAACAATGTAGATTTATATAGATCTATGAAGTGCACGGTCTTGGACACTGGACTTAGTAGCAACCGAGTGTAAAAATGTAGGAGAACTATGATAACTACAGGGTGTTACTGTCAAATTCATTAATGTGGAGAACTATGACAACAATAACACATTAAGATAATTAAATAATGTTACACTTGGTTCTAACACATTAATGCGTTATTTATAATCAGCTATGTATCAGTACCGATTGATTCTAAACCAACTGCTGGTCCCTGCCACGTTGCCGAATGTGCTAGATGTGTGTAAAAGCCTGCTAATCTCTGGTTACCACAGGCATCTTCTAAAATTCTTATACCGGTCTCTCCTACCGTTAGGAGCCTAAGGGAAGTTTGTGTTTCCATTGCACATTGAGCATAGGTTGGTGAATGAGGTAAATGAAATTTGCGAGCGTGTATCACAAATGCTGTACTGCCTCTGATAAATGAATGCTGAAAGAGAAGGCCGATTGAGAATTTGTAAGAAAGTTGTATCTACTCGATAATTCTATAATACAGTGATAGTTGACATTGACATTGAAGATATTTCTAAGTTGATTGTGTAAATATGTCATTTTCATGTTCCCATGTGAAGAAAAAATTATATAAGAAAACGGAATTGTTTATAGTTTATAATTTATACATTTTTACATTACTAACATTTCAACATAGCTTAGCTACTACAGTTTACTGCTAACGCAACAACCAACTTTTCAACTGGTTGCATTTTTCTTACAAAAAGCATTTATGGGAATTATACAGTAACACAAAACTTGTACAATAACACAACATAACATTACACCATGACGTTATTATAGTGATATATAATCTGTACAACTTGACATAGAGCATCTAAATAATATACAACAAAACGGCTAGTTTGTCTGTCAAAGTATCGGTGCCAGCTCCTATAAAGACAGTGGAGGGTTTAGAAACTTGGATGGTGACGGTGTGTAACTGAATATAATGCGCACACTATGGTTTCAAAGTTACAGCATGCCTTCTAATAGTGAATAAATTTTAAAACCTCAGACATTTTTTCAATGGCTGTAGGGACGTATCCATTAAAAATAAATCGTGCTGTATTACTTACATGTATGCTTTCTATACTTGAAAGCATTTTCTAACCCTAACATATCCATTATTAAATGGAAGCACAGCCACTATTGCAATAGATAATGGTGGCGTGAGGAATATGTTCAATTGAAGTTTCTTTGCCACGTCCTATAAATTGACGCCCTTCTACATAGCTCTCAAACCGTTCTATATCATGTATACATTGTAATTACTGTCCAAAGAACCACCTGATATGATGAGAATAAGACTCCTTAATTATAATGATTAACAGTGTTATTAATATAATATTATTTTAAAGCAATATTTAAAACTTCAGCTGCACCCAGAAAGATTTTCATCCGAGGATTACTTAGTGCATACACTACTGTATACACCAATACGTTCGTCCATGCATAAACTATTCAGTTGTAAAAAAAGGATGCGGTTGTTCCCAGTGATTGCACAGTTTCACACATGTGACACCGAGGCGCTGCAATGACGCGGGACACTTGCAAACATCTGCGTTGCGTGGGTACGCTATTTATGTGTATCTGCGTAAAGGTACTGTCATGCACGTAGCAGCACATATTAATCTTGCAAATTAGCTTGTTTTGGTTCCCACCCTTATCTTAACTGGTTCAAACGTACAAAAGTAGAGTATTTTACCTAGGACGAAATGATTACAAGCTCAACATAAGCTATACTGATGTTGTAAACCAGTCATATAATATAGGTGGGTAGATATTTGCCTGATAGTGATAAAAATATAACCTGCTTACTTGAAACCTGCGTAAGTATTATGGCCAAACTGTCAATAATTACCAGGTTTCAAATGTTTAATGCACAATTGGCATACAATACCGTACGGTATGAAGAAACATAGAATTCAGAAGCCGTACATAAAGTTACACAAACTCCAAGTTCACTGCTCCACATTGCAACAACACTGGCAAGGCTATCAACTAAGACGGTGATAGCTAACTCCAACCCAATACCCAGAATCACAAATTTAATAGTATTTAGCGTTAGACATGCGGCACCACTGTCTGTAAACTTGTTAGACTACAAGAGAAACAATGGCGCAACATTCATGGAAGCACACATCTTTTTCATTCTCCTTGCTCTCCTTGTGGCAGGATCTACTCCTCAAAGCATGAGACAAGACAGGAAATGGTCTTTACTATATTGGCACTTGTTCGAGTACCTTCCAAGAACAATGTGCTGCTTTCAACCTGATAACTTACGGCCAACTCTGTAGGCCTACGTATACTCCCAAGGCCTGCTAAACGTTACTCCACAACATCAAGTTTGATAACACAAACAGACAGCAACGTCACATCACAACATGCTAGGCCATATATCCAAGTCAGGCTTTTATGAGGCCTATACTCAAAGCATAGTTAAACCAATTTCTCCTAGCAAGCTCGGAACAGATAAGACTATAAAAGCAATACCTGGTACCTTGGCAAGTTGGTATCATAAAATAATTTAGTGAGGATACAACTCTGGACCTTTAGCTTTGCTCGGCACTTATCATTAATAGCAACATATCTTCATAAGCAGTATATACTATTATTATCACCACGATAGCACATGAATACTTACTTGAACACCAAGTATATATGCATTATGCATTAAATACTGTAGAATGGAGTCTGGCAACACCTGCCAACTAGAAATGTATTACAACACTACATAAAACATTCACCACCGAGTATTTCACATTTTTGTCATCCACATTCAAACTTGTCACCAGGGACTTCAGAGTAACGGCAGCCATTAATTACTGAATTCGGCCACCAGGTTGAGCCCCTGATGACTGTACCGCTTCCAAGGTCCGTTCTTTTAGACGGTAGGCAAACGCATTTTTGTCTAGATAACGCAGCCTAGTGTTAGCAGGTTGTCTCTGCCTGGCTGAATACTGCAATGGGAAAGTGTTTCGTGTGCGTCTGCCACTGGGCTGATAGCTGGAAGAACTTGACGTTTGACCATTCAACGCCATCAATTGCCACTGGAAAAACAACAACAAACAAGTTTAGTTGAAATTTGTCTGTTTGCAAATTAATAGGACTATTGAAGATCAATGCTATTTCAGAAAAACATTATAGGAAAAATTAAGTTATTCCGTACACAGTTTATGCTGTCACAAAAATATTATTGAATGAATATATGTCCTTGTATAAGGATAATTTCAACAATACTTTTCCTATACAAGTCACATATATACAATAACAACGAAAGCAGGTATTACAATCAAGGATCATCAATCGGCGTTGATGTGATAATGGTTCAAAGACAAATTAGATCAAAGTATACCTTTAAGTGGGTAGTTGGATGACTTTCCCATACATATAAGTCGCTGTATTCCTTCTACAGTTTGTCTCGTTTCTGTATCCTTCTCTTTGGACTTTTTCCCAATTCTCATAACTGTAACATAAATCATAACGCAATCTATTCATACTAATCTTCAGTATCTCACTGTTACAGTGGTTGCTGCTTTATCAGGCCCTAGATAAGTGAGCACATCAGTTCAACGACATGCCTTTGAGAAAGATTCCTTACACACGTTATTGGATAAAGGGGAAAGAACCTCGGTATAAAATATAAATACCTCCCCCCCCATTTCTTGCATAATGATACATGAGAATTAATTAAGCTATTTAAAATTCTGTTGCCATACGGTTAATGCCTTTCTAGAAGGTTTATCCGACTAGGTTAAACATGACTTAAAACGACGACAATTATTACCATCACCAGAACAGTTTGAGTAAACTAGTGGCTGTTCATGTCTTAATTACAGTCAATCACAACTGTCAATTATAACAAACATACAAAAGCTACGCTAGGAGATGTGTAAGCGCTTTAAAAAAATACAATTAAATGTTGATTAACATCTTCCTCCAAAATCCTGAATTTTATTCTGCTTGACTTTGGGGGTGCAGGAGAGATGTGGGGGGAGGGAGGGGGCAAGATAAAATCAACAATCCATAATAGAAATTTCTATTATTTCTATTATACTCTTGATAAAATTCCCAGACTTTGTACATTCGCGATATTCTCGACAGTTGCGAACGACGACCCGTCTTAAGCCTAGTCCAGACCTGCGACTTTTTCATGCAACTCGACAGCGATTTTAGAATCGCTGTCAAAATTGCTGTGAAATCGGTACGTCTGCGGGAACGTGCAATTGCAATCCGTAGCGATTCTGGTCGCTTGCGACGAGTTGCAAGAAATCAAACTGTTTTGATTTTGAGCGACTCGTCACTCCCAATCGCTCCAAAATTGCTCTAGAATTGCTTCGAAATCGCATGTGCGCGCACACGCGGTGGCACATCGACCGATCGCTTGCGGTTGCAGGTTGCAATGACGAGCAACCAAAAATCGCAGGTCTGCGCTAGGCTTTAGCCGTTCTCTCACTTTTCTGTTTCTTCTCTTTGGTGATGAACATCATCGTGAGTGCGGAGACTGCGCCGGTTGCCAACTCTCCGCACGATGGCAGCTTCAGCACCGTCAGCGACCGGAACGTCGACTTCATCGATAACTTCCCGCTAGCGTCCTTCTTCTCGCGGCCGCTCGGAGGGTCCTTGCAGGCGACGGTCGGAGACAACCAGTACTCCACCTGTAGGTCGAGCTCTGCATTGCTCTGCATACCTTGTGAATCCCTGCTGAAATACATACGGAAAACGAGAAGTGCTTAACAGTGATTGTGATCGTGTCAAGTGTTGGGATATACCGAACAGCCACAAACATTATCTAACAAGGCACGAACACACGCACACACACTAAATGAAACAACTGTTATTAGGAAACAAAGTGTATTTTCAATTGCAATTTTTTTTAATGCAACCTCACCAAAAATAAAGAAACATGCTTCTCATATGCAATAAACATGATACTACATGCATATATAAGCATCAATGTAGCACAATTACAAGCTATGCTATATATATTTCTGAATGGGTCCTACAAAACAGTGTATTCTCCTACAACCTCCAAGCAACCACCAATGACACTGACCCAGTGTAGCACTAGCTCCTACCCCCTTATGATGAGCTTACCTCCATAGTGCACTGCACATATCCTCATGTGCCCATCAAATGCACAATGAGACCTACTAGACACGCCCATATAGCTATATGTACATCTATATATATAGTACCTGTATATATAGTATATATGTATATATCTGCCCATGAGCGAAGAATTCACGCTACACCGGCCACTCTAGAAACTGTAGAAACACAGTCTTCCAGTCGAAGTAAAGTTACAGAAAAGCACTCAACAGTTCACAACAGTGTGAAGCGCAGAAGAAAACGAAGATAAATGAAGCGCAGCAGAAAACGAAGACGAATGAAGCGCAGCAGAAAACAAAGACGAACAAAGTGTGCAGACGCTCTCGCGCGGCCGCTCACCTGTTCAAGCTGGAGGAGAGGCTGACATTGGGAGAGCCGGGTGGCGTCGTCGCCTCCTTCTGCGGCTTGTCGAGCAGGTGACTAGAGAGGGGAGGAGAGCCGGAGACGAGCGGAGCCGTCGGCGAGTCCTCCAGCGTCAGATCTACGGACGTCGACGTGTAGCCTGCCGCCGCGCCGCCGCCGCCGCACTCCAGGCTGCTGATCTTCACGTCCTGCACGCGAGACGAAAGCTGACGCTGAGCGGCAGTCTAGCTTATGCTCCGACATACACGACGCGGCAAGCTGAGCATGATACACAGTCGTCGCGCTACCACTAACCTACCGCACACCGCACTAGTATAGAACACTAACATGGGATACTAGTATCGGATACTGGTTTATACATGCTACTCGTATATAGGATACTAGCATACATTATTATAGTAACATATACTAGTATACATGGGATACTAGTATCGGATACTGGTTTATACATGCTACTCGTATATAGGATACTAGCATACAAAGGATACTAGTATCAGATACTGGTTTATACATGCTACTAGTATATAGGATACTAGTATACATTATTATAGTAACATATACTAGTATACATAGGATACTAGTATCGAATAATGGTTTACCTATGCTATTCGTATAAGCTATTCGTATACAGGATACTAGTATATAGGTTCATGGCACTATGTAGTGAACTTGCCATTGAACTAGTCGTACCTACTTGTTTACATGCGCACTTGATGGGTCGTTAAATTTTAGACACACGATTGCTTTCACGAATTTCATATAGTACACATTCGCATTCAATTATCAACAACCATGATTTGGTTGTTAAACATCGCATTTTCCACATGAATTAATTACTGGACAGACAAGTGAAATTCCATTTGCATCATTTTGTTAGGTTGTCACGTGCAGGTAGAGGGCAGCACTTGCTGGAGTACTTACGGTGATGAAAGGTGTGAATGACTGGGAGGAATCCTCTTCGGAACCCTTCTCCTTACACGTGACCATCGCCTCTGCGATTGGTAGCTGTAACACCGCCGACGCACCAGTCAGATAGCGTGACACTCTGTTGGCAAGCTCCTGATACAGGGAATCTGTGAAGAACATGGGCTAACCATTAGTGCATAATGATCAATCTCAGAGATAACTCGAGGGGACCTGTTATTTATAATCGCACGGGAGTTCAGTCAGATCTAAAGACGTGTCGTGAATTGTGGTTCTTATCAACTTCTTGTTAGTTGTTTAGCCTGTTTATGTGTTCAGACTTTGGAGTGCTAACACTTATGCACACTTATTCATCTACATTATGATAGTTTTCGTGATATAATTGTTGTAAATCACTTGATCTTGTTTTTTTTAATAATAGCCAATGATTAATAATTTATGTACATGTGTTTGACATCATTAGCCCTGTTCCAATAAAAATGCAAGTTGGTGGCAACATTGCGATAAATGAATGCATAATTTAAATGAAAATAATGAGCAAATATTTAATTATTGACGATTAATGATTGAAAATTACGATATCTCGAGGGTACTATGCAAATGAATGAGAATCCCACAAACATGTTTATTGCAGCAGTAAACACATATAATACGCCCACAGCATAGCACACACATAGTGTCCTTAAAAATTTGGTTGTAATTAGTTTCTCATCAATAGTGAATAATAACAGATGATATGTACCATGGCTAATTTAAATGGAAATATTTGTAAAACCGGAACTGCATTAACTTAAATTAGTGTAACGAATTTATTAGTACCCAATGAAGTAGAATGTGAGTTAGCAGCTATTGTATTTGTGAATTGAGCTTAACTGACAAGGCGTGAGCCATTACTCAACACTAGGTTGGAAGTTTGAGTGGGTTATTAATGACGAGTTATATAGACATGGACTCTCCGACCACCTAAATATTGCACAATGTTCATTGAAAACAAAATTCCATCAACGTGAAACCAGAGCTTCTGTTGGCCAGAATCGTCACAATACCATCTTGTCAGGATGGTTCGCGTCTTAGGTAACACGTGTGTCGATCACACTTCGTTACCTCGTTTGATAAAGCTGAAGCAATTTGACATACGAGGGTCAACTAAAGTTAACAAAACGAATTGCACCTAATAGCCCGGCAGATATGTGAATGAATTGCGACTTTGATGATACAAGCATGAGTGTTGGCACACTGTTAGAGCATGCCCTAAGGAAGAGATTTAGCTATAGGCCCATCGCATATATAATAGTTAAATGCACATGAGATTTTTGCAGCTAAATATGACTATCTTGTAATGTTAGACGCCATCTTAGGTTAAAGGTCAATTACTTGTTTTGACCCATCTCATGTTGTCTCGTGTCAGCAATGACTTGTGGCAGGTATTATGCTATGCAATAGAGATAGTGTGGGACCAAACTGTCCGTGTCGCAGCAGAATGCCTACATGACCTTGATTGCGATTTAAAATGCCAATATAAGGACTGCTATCTACGGAAGAAAATCTACGAAACAATGGTTAGTATATATATATAATAGACTATTACTACATAATTGTCCGTTTTTGACAATCTTTCTGAGGACATCACACGCACACACACAGGTACAAACACGCATTCACGCACGCACGCACACGATAAACATATCCAAAGTTGTTATTAGTACGTTGCTGCTATTTCCCAGACACAGCTAGCTAATAAAATAATTCAAAATTGTTGTGACCACCAGGTGTGAAACGACTGGACGTTTCCCATCTTTTTAATCATCTGCTTAGGAAGATTCCTACAGGGTAAGAGCTGTGGAATACATTCTGAATATATATATATATATATATATGGACTTGGTTTGTCAAAAACATGTGTATGCACAATACCTGGTTTGTGGTTCTCGGATTTTTCGAAGGCATCTCGCCACAATCCGTCGAGGAATAATGAGTGATATGTGCTGTCTATGCTGCCGAGGTATTTGGCCAGGCACACATTAGGACCTATAAGAGGATATGCAAAAGGAAGCATGAACACCTCACGTCAGACCCCAGCAAACATCAGACAGAAGAACGTCATAAACATACTACCATAAGGAACAGGGGGGGGGGGGCTATTGTCCAAAAAATCGTAAAGTTAATGCTAATATTAATGCCAAGATAACACTTACAATTAATGGTAATGTTAAGACTAATGTTAAGATTAATTTTGTTTCTGACAACGGGCTCAAGATTTACACAAAATTTAGTCTGGGAAATGTAACACCATTGTAGAATGCAAATTAGCAGATAAGTCACAAACGAATGAGTACACACCACCTAAGCTTTGATCATTTATTAATTTGTCTTTTTAATTGATTAATCTTAGTGATTGCGAATTGTAATCCGGGGCCCGTTGTCAGAAACAAAATTAGTCTTAACATTAGCCTTAACTTTACAATGTTCCTGACAACAGGCCCTTAGGTTGTAAGGTGATCATAGGGTCTGCATATGCCATCCTACTATGACACAAATGCCTTTGTAAGGCTATTACTATTATAAATTAAACCCACAAACGCATTATCTACATGTCTCAACAGTAATGGATGCAAAATGGGCACATTTCTCGTTCCATGACTCAAGGAAGCACTCACTATAACTTCTGTTGAGTTCTATATCTATAGTGGTTCCACTTGCGATTATTGAGTTTTCTACAGACTGCAAGCCATCAAAGCATGCAACATGACAGAAAGAGTGTGACAGAAATGCAGGGGCATACGCATGCATGCATGCATATAACCACGCACACACGCACGCGAGCGAGCACATACGAGTGAATGCATGAACGCAATCACAGGCATGTACATACGCACACCTTGGCCACACAGATACACACGTACAAGACAAGGAGACACATGATTTGCACATATATTCATGCATGCATGCATGCACACACGCACACACACACACGGATGTAAGCCCACCTACACAGGCACATACAGATGCACAGACACACGTAAATACATACAGATGTAGGGTCGAACAGATAGACATATTGTATATATATATATATGTATGCTGGTAGAAAGATACGTACGTATGCACAAACACACATAAAAACGTCTTGACAACAGAGTGTGAACAAACCCCTGAGCACAGACCGATACACAGGTAGGCTTGTACTGACACGTTTGGCACAGACAAGCCTGAATATAACAGTCTGTCTGTCAGTGTAACAACTGTCTATATAACAGCTAACAGCCTCTGATGTACGTACCTATAGGTATGACTAGAAAACGAACATAGCCTTGCCAATCAGGAGGCTTCGCTGAGAACTGTTCGACGAATGGTTGCAAAACTGTGTTAACGTAGCGATCACTGCCGGCAATCACAATTTTGATGGGCGACGGCGTCCGACTATTTGTGTTGCAACTGCAATACAGATATAGTGATTGTTGTACAGTAAGTAGTATAATACAGTCAATTGTATAGCAATTACACAATACCACACCAAGTAAATAAACATGTATGACAGTAGAATAGAATAACAAGCATGTGGTATACAAGCATTGGTGATACAATTTACAAGTTATTAATACCACAACTACGATGATGATGATGATGAGGAGGAGGAGGAGGAGGAGAAGATGATTTAAATGAAGACGACGACAATGACAATAATGAAAATGAAGAAGATGACTATCAACATTATCAAAATTATATTAAACTGCATATATACGAATAAAAGCATTGTAATTTCTTCTTAAAATAAATTTTGCTTACAATTTTTGAATTTTGTTGACCAGATGTGAGAGTATGGCCTTAACGTCGCCACTCGTCATCGTGGAAACCACTCTGTGATTGGTCAACTCATGGACCTTGTGAGCAAATAGCTGGCCGTGTTTCTCCGACGTGTCAACTAGGACCGCAGAATCAAGCATGATATCTTCAGACCCCAGCAGGACGCCCAGCTGCTCTAGCAAAGCTTTACGTGGCTGAAATGATCAAACACGTCATATACAGACGCTCCACAGCAATTTTAGGAACTAGAGTCATTTTGGTAATGTGCTTAATTTACTCACACACGTGCATGCACGTAAGCACACGCACGCACGTAGGCACGCACGCACGCACGCACGCACGCACGCACGCACGCACGCACGCACGCACGCACGCACGCACGCACGCATGCA